TTAAATATGAGTGTTAATATTTACAAAAATATATATATTTTAGATTCATAGAATATTTCCCGTTGTAAGATGCTGAAAATATTCGGATGTTCAAGCAATAAATTAAATTATAGATTGTTTATTACTCTTTTTCTTATTGCTTTTTTTTTTTTTTTAATCATAAATCATTAACAAACATAACACAAACAATTTAGTTTTTTAAATATTTCTTATATTTATTTAAAATTAACTTAAAATAATTATTAAAAAAAACAATTTTAGATTTTCACATATATAATTAAATGTGGATTTATATGAATTCTTTCAGGATTTGAATTTTTTTGAATTTTTTGAATTAAATCATTATGTATTTCCCAACATCTATCTGATCTTACATACGCGATGTAATGGACTCATATCCAACTATTCCTCGGAGAATATACCTACAATGAACAAATTAAACGTTTAATGTAATTATATGTGAATAAGCTGAACATTGATGTTTTAATAATTTAATTTATTTTATAAGTTCTTAATTGGTAGCTGTAATTATAAAACAATAATGTATTTATAAATATTATAAGAATTAAGATGTAATATTAAACTTACTTATCAGAATGATCACGTAAAATAATTTAATGAAAATTGATGTCCATCAGCTACCATATCAGTTTCAATAAATAAATGATTTTCAATTACTCTTGTAAATGTTATTATTCTATCGCAGTTATCTTCAACGTATGTATAATGTAATTCTGATAAATATTGATTCAGAGCATTTTGAAAATTGGAAAAATAATGCTTCATTTTCAATATAATTGTTGGACTGCAAATTTTCCTTCTTGCATTCTGTTCTTGGGCATTCAATACTTTCGATGGCAGAAGGTGCAGTTTTCAATAAATTAATTATAATAAATGAAACATTGCACCTTGAATCAATTAATTTTACATTTGTAACACTGTTTTTGATGAAAAATTTGTTGAAGTAGTAAAACTCTCGTATTAAACGATTATTTTAATTTCCACAAAAATCATAGTTATACAAATTCTGAAAACTACATAGAAAATTATAGCAAATTAATTGCAAAATGTCTGTGAAGGTTTGAAGTCGCTAGCTTGATTTGGGGGTGGCCAACTTCACGCACATTATAAAAATCAGCATTGCAAGTAAAATATACCAATAGGTTTTATACAAGAAATTTAATTTGATGTTGACAACGTTTTTTTTTTTTTAAAAAAAAAATAAAGTGCTCGAAGCATTTGATTTATTTATTACGAATTTTATTTTATGGTATATTTTTTTAATCATACAAATGAACACAATGTATTATTGCTATTTTTTTTTTTTTATTATACATATAATAATATACATCATTAATGTTCTTAAAAATCTCCCGATTAGTTTTCCTTGTGATCTTTAGCTAAAAAACAGTCGTTGATTTCGTGTAGACGTAGATTAACATTAAGTCTACAGTATAGGCAACAAGTCATTGTTATCACGTCAACTGTATGCTTTGATTACGTGTAGGCATACAACCTAATGTTTCCAATCGTGGTTCGTTTTATAATTATATTAGTGTTTCATGTTATTTTTTTCGTGCTATAGTACTGGACATCATTTACATTTATTCGTAACCCGTTGGCATAATGATTCGTCAGCAAACGTCGTCGCTTGTGGATGTAAATATAATTTAAACAAATAATGAGAACGGTACGCGAAACATTGATGTTTTGCAGGTTTTGCACTTTCGGTTCGTCGTCAGCTGTTCGAGTACGAAAGTTGGCTTTTTCGCCCGTTCGCGACCGAGTATTTTCCGCCGTTTCGTGCACGTGAAGTGTGTCACCCCTACGGCTCTACAACGTGCCCTTTCCGTGGTCTTCACAAAGGATCATTCGGCACATACCGCGGGCGCGGCAGAGTTCAGCGACGATAATTTTTTCTCGTCCCTTCGTTAACATTTGCAATTTTTCACCGACTCTCCTACACGTTGGGAGGAAAATGGTTATGGACGGGGAAAAGGAACGGTACGGTTTAAATATGCGCAACAACGAATTTCGAATTCATTTAGCCGCCCTCATGCGACACGGAATGATACACTTTGGAGCAGGTGCCAAAAACCCGTGGCCCTCAAAACTTTTTTCCGCCGCCCACTAAGTATTATTCGCAGATGGTGTTTAAAGTTCTAATTTCGCATTGCACACATCGTATTAATAATAAAAACGTATGCGTTTCATGTGTTAGAACAGTGGTTAAAACACGTTTGTTTGTAATACATTGTACAAATTGATCTCACTCGATTCATTGTCTTAACAGTTTTACACTTCTGTCTTTGTGTTAACACAATATTTAATTCGAAATCAGTCGATAAGAACAACCGCGCAATGGAACTCATCATACTATGATTTCTGATATGAATAAATGTACGTATAAATATCAACGTACAAGTATTACAAATTGGTACTCGTATTAGTTATAATTTTCAATCACATTAATTTGAATCGAGTAGGAATCAAAGAAAAGCTAAACCAAAATATGACCTATGTAGGTAAAGTTTGTTGTAGACCTCTGCCTCAATAGTAGTTCTTCGAGTACTATAACCGCCTACGCACAGGGCCGTACTCAGCTTGGCGCGGGTACCGGAAACACTAAATCTTTGAAGCTTCTTTATTTTTTTAGGGTTAGGCATGATTTTCAGATGAAAACATTTTTTATACATGGAAATTAATAGTTAAACGGTATTGAAATCAAATATCGTTGCAACTGTACTGTTTTAATATGTTTTATTTTGTTCTCGTAATAATATTCGTTTTAAATCATTTTTAAATTTTCTAGTACGGTGCTGTTAAATTGTTGAGAGAAAATTAAATAGTGTAAAAGACATAAATAACAAATTATACCTAATGTTAATATATAATTTCATAATACATAACACGAAACGTAAAATTAATAATTCATATCAGATGGTCGATCAGACTCGCGCAGATGATTAATTTAAAGGAATACCCGTGATCGCCGGACACCGAAAAGATTAAAGTAGGATATAAGTATTATTATTATACCATGTATTGCATGTGATGCAAACAGTCGCTTCAGTCTTGGGTCTATCAATGATTTTTAATTTTTTTTTTTTTTTTGAAAGCCCGGGTCACATAGAAGTAGGCTTAGGACCAATGAATTCTTAGGACGACTCTGCGTCAATGTGATTTTATGTTTGTGCATGCGGAAATATTTTAAATATTTTCATGGAGGCGTTGTTTGTTGTAACTGAACAAAACAATTAATAATACTAATGATAATACATTTTTATTTATTTATATTACTAATTATTTTTATAAATTACGTTTTATTCAGTTGTTAAAATTTAAAAGTTATATTCTCATACATTATATTCTATAATCAACAGTCTGTTTTTTACATCGAGTCATTTGTTCTGCAATAGAATTTACTTTTTTAGTAATTTTTTGATTGTTTTCTCTCTATTACTTCTTATTTTTTGTATATATACCTATATCAGATCGATTATTTTGTAACACATCAATGAAATGGTAAGTATTTGAATGGCAAATGTAAAATAAATTATTTTATTTCGAATGAATTGTCTTGCAACTGTTTTTTTTTCGTAGGGTTTGTGTTTGGCATGAATTCAGCCCATAAATTTGGAGGAAAAGAGACACTGTATCAATTTAAGTTTTTAGAATGTATTCCATACATTTATTTATTTATTCATCTACAATGAGTAGAATTGATAATATATTCTTTCTAAAGCATTCTTCTATGTTGAGATTTAAAAAAGTAAGTCCAACCATTATTTATTTATTTATTTTTTTAATTCAAGAAACTATAAACTTCACCAGTCTTCTCATAAACCAACACAAAATATGTTAGAATGAAACATAATTTAATTTCGATCAAAAATAAATAATTTATTTCCCTAGTCTTTCAAATACTTACTATTGTATCAATATATCAAAGAATAATCAATTCAAAACATATGTACAAATTTGAAGTAATGAGTGAAGAAAAAATCGAAAAACGATTGAAAAGAAAATTCTATTTGGGAATAAATGACTCATTGGGAAAACGGACTATTGCATATAGATCAGGGGTGGCCAAATTTTTTTTGGTCACGATCTACTAAAAATATACTTCACCTTTGAGGATCGACTTTTATAGAAAAATTTTTTATTATTGAATAAGTGCATATAAACATACAATAAGTATTATTAACTAATTACTAATTACTGAAAATAATATAATAATAAATAATAATTTCTAAAATCTAATTAGATAAGTTTAATTAACATATTATTTTGTTGATCTGGCTATTGTTGAAGTGTGACATTGCATGTCGTTGACCAATTGGTCGTAATCTGGCGAATAGTTGCGAACTGCTAATCGAAGACACTGCTCCAAATGGTCATCAGAGAGCGTAGATCGAAATTCTATTTTTATCATTTTCATGTGAGAAAATGCTGTTTCGCACAAATATGTAGATCCAAAATAAGTATGTAACTGCAAAGCTACATTCCTCAAACCCGGATATTTTTCTTCACTCAGTAAATTCCAAAAATTTGTTTCATAACCTCGAGCTTTGAGGAATAAAGTTGATTTGATTTTTATAATTTCAGATTCAAATTTTGTAGACTCCATATCAAACAAATTGTGTAGAAATATTTTCAATACTGTTTGTTTCGGAGAAAGAAAAAGACATAGATGTAATAATCGGCTCTAATTTTTGAATATCTTTAAATCGTCTTTCAAATTTATTGTACATTTTTTCAACCTCAGAGCAATATATTTCCACTGCCACTGTACATTTTTGCTTTTCAAAAAAATCTTTTAAGTTTGGAAAATTATTCAAATTAGATTCATTTAATTGTGACTTGAGTAATATCAATTTTGATTTAAACCCATTTATAAAACTCAATAACTCAATTATTGTCTCATCTTTTCCTTGAAGTTCAACATTTAAAGTGTTTAAATGAGCCGTTATATTTGTTAAAAAAGCTAAGTTCTGAAGTCATCTATTGTTTGTTAAACAATCATAATTATCGCCTCTGGATTTTAAAAACTTTATTACTTCAGGAAGTAAACATTGAAACCTTTCTAGAAATTTACCAAGGCTCAACCATCTAACATCCGTATGCAGTAATATATCACAAAGCTGAGAATCGTTTTCTTCTAATTGTAATTTAAAAAGTCGCCTTTGCAAGCTTCGTGAACGTATAGAATTGGCTATTTTAAAAGCAATGTCCATTATAGTTCTTGTATTCAATATTTTTCCACACAATGCTTGTTGATGTATCACACAATGGAACGTTATAAAATTTGGAAAATTATTATCATTCTTACACAAAGCAATAAAACCATTATTTTTACCTATCATAGCTGGAGCTCCATCGGTCGTAATACAAACTAATTCATACAATGGTAAATTTGATTTATTGACAAAATTAATAAAAGCTTGATAAATATCCACACCTCGTGTCATACTTTTCATAGGGATTATAGTTAATAATTCTTCTTTTGAATTAAAATTTGAAAAAACTTGTCGTATAAATATACATAGCTGAGCGGTATCTGTTATGTCTGTTGATTCATCGAATTGAAGTGAAAAATAAACACATTCTTTGATGTCTAGTTTTAATATTTCAACTAAATTTTGTCCTATAGATTCTACTCTTCTAGTTACAGTTTTACGAGATAACTGCAAATCGTTTATAGCTGATAAAATTTCTCATTTATTTTTAAAGTTTTCAAATAAAGCATCTGCGCCTTCTAAAAAAAGCTTGTTTTACTATTTCATCGGTTTGAAATGATTTTTTATTCTTAGCTAAAACATGACTAATTCGAAATGAAGCAATTGTTGTTGCTTTGGATTTTAAAACTGGTTTAGTAAAAATCAATTGTTGTTTATCAATTTCAAGTTTTAATTTTTCTAATTGCTTTTTACGTACTTCAGTTTTAGGAGGGAAATCTATATCAAATTTTGAATGTGTAGTTCTAAAATGTCTTTCTAGATTACTTTTTTTGTTGTGGATATTGTTATTTGACGTATCAAACATATGCACTTGTTTTTCAACATTGTAAAAAAAAAAATCCATTTTCCATTCTAGATGAAAATGATAAGTTTTTTGTTTTTTATGTGCACTCATAATTATAAATTTTAAACACAACAGACACCAGCAGAACACAGAACAACAGAACACAGTGAAACGAACATTCGTGACCGATAAACATTTGATACACGAAACCAGATTAAAATTAAACAGATAAAACTTATCGACAATTCAATAACAATTCGTGCGCGTGTTCCTAAAAAATAAATTCTAACATGATCGACTTTGAAATTGTCCGCGATCGACCGTTTGGCCGCCCCTGATATAGATAATATGAAAAATATTTCTTACTTACTACTTTATTTTCTTAAAAATATTTAATATTTTTTATCAGCTGAATAAAAACATAATGTTTAAAAATAAGTAGTTATACAATAAATAAATATGATAAATCAAAAATACTTCCTTTCATTTTCGGCCAATTAAATTTCTATACATATATATATATATATATATATAAAATTCAAATACTTATCATTCAATGATCGCTATATTTTTAAATCTCAAAAACGAGGTAACATATGAACTTAAAGTTTGATGTAGTGGTTCCTCGAATATTAAAGAAAATCGCATTTTCAAGGGTCACTATTTTGGTCACTATAAAGGGTCATTATTTTGAATGGAGGTTATATTTTTTTTTTACAGGAAATATTTTATTCGGTTATGTATTTTGATTTTAACAATCACCTATACAAATAAGTAAATTAATTTGGAATAAATAAATAAAAATAAATATATTTACTCATTTGAATATACGACGCGAACGTATGCATGTTTCAATCTACATTTTTATTTCTTTTTAAAATAGCTATCGTTATAATCTAAACAAGTAAAATATTTCTCGGGCAAGACTGGGCGTTTTAGTTGGTGAAAACATACACACACACACACGGAATATTAGGATAACGCATATTCAAATAATATGTAGAATTGTAAAATAACAAATACAATAAAACAAGCAAAAAATAATAAACATTTTTATGACTGTTACGCAATTTATACCCATCGCCTAATTACATTTGGAATGCAGTTATCCTAGCATAGAATTTATTGGGAGAGGACGCAATTCACCTAAAGACCAAAACCTAAAAACCAATTCATCACGCGACACTCGAACCCGTTGCAGTTTACCTACGTGTACAGAGTTTATGTAATACCAGTACACCGGTAATAGATCTTTAAACATTATTACAGTCTGTAATACGATCATCAAATCGAAATAAACAAAACGTTGAATATTATAAATTGTAATTTCACGAAATGGAGTATTATAATTGTATATTATCCGTATGTTAATTTATGGTCACGGTAGTTATATGTTATTTTAGCCGTTAATTATAATATTTTATTGTTTTATTAAATAATAATAATAATACATTTTATTATGCGTGTTAAATGATAAATATAAAATGACATCCAACCACTTTTAATAACATAAATCTAACGATACACTGCATGGTGTATGATGTGCAACACATTTATGTGTACTGCAGATAATAACAAATTTAATCATCTGGTCGTGGTTGTTAAAATAAAACAGAAAAAGTTCTACTACTAATTATCTCGCGTACCATTTAACACCAGTTTTTATTTTGTTATTTTTTTCCTGCGGCACAACTTCGGTTTTAGCAATTAAATGTACAATGGAAATAATACCACGTTTGGCACAAATCTCGTTTTATCAGACGTCAAAATTCTGCGGAAAAGCATTTATAAACAATAACAACGCGGTTGCTACGTTAACAGATATTAATAACATACTATTAAATATAAACAACGTATTATTCATCGTTGTTCTACGTACGCATACGCGGTTCGCAGTTTGTTTTCGATGTTTATAAATGTTTGCACATCGAATCCAAGCTGTAATAGTTACGTGAAGAAAATTCAAATGCGATCATGATATTCCACTAGATTCTGACGTACACCACTGAATTTATTCCGATCGTAATTCGAAAACGAAGACGGCGATTCAATATAAATTGGAAAATAACGCATCGAACGGAATTCGATCATACATTATCAAAAATGTTCAAATCTTTATTTGTAAAACAATGAAAATGATTTTCATTTTATTTTTTTATTTACCTGAGATATCCGTAAGCGTGATAAATCGTATTCGCAACAGTCAGTGATCACTAGGGCCCGGAACTTAATGCATTTGCATCTTTTTTTCTAATGCTTACATTCGAGGCTCGTCTGTACAGAAATTTGATTCATGAAATTTAGAATTTAATGGTACACTTTTTATTTTACTTTTTTTGCATACTTAGATAATTTTATGCTTTACAGTCATTTTCAGTATTTTTGGTGCATTTTATTCATTTTGTATTTTTTTTACATTTATTTGCATTTTTCTTGTTGAAAGATACACTTGTAATATATTTTTTAACACATTGTTTCCATTGTCGACGTTCTTCCATTGGTCTCCAAACCAAAGTATAGTTTGAACAAAGAAAAAATTGTGTCAATATTAATTTCGAAAATTGATTATAGCGTCTTCAAGTAGCATAGTTAATGGTAGGGGGGCTGTGGGGGTGGCAGCCTCCCCCAAAATGTTAAGAAAGTTAAATTAATGGTCTATATAGATAGCTAAAAAAGAATAAATATTTAAAATTTTTAGTATTAACACTTTACAGCCATCTATCTGTGATAGTAGGTATTTTAAGCATATAATATTGTGCATCGGTCGCGAATCGCGAATTCAACTTCAGAGTCAAGACTTGTCGGACTCACATTATTATCTATTTATACAGACATTGAAATTTCATATAATCGAATATTTGATATATTTGTTAACAGTGGAAAGGATTAAAGATTAAAATTGTCAATTACATTTTTTTGTCGTTTAATAATAAAATTAATTAAATATTTAATAATTAATAATTACGATTTATGGTATATGAATTTTATAAAACGTAAATTCTTAAAAATGTTAAGTCGTTGATTATTATAAAGTTATTTTTTGGTATTTTTGTAGTCATTTTTTAAGTCATTTTTTGTTGTTTATTAATTATTTTAACATTTTTGTTTTCTGCATTTTTTAAAAAATTTTTAGGTCATTAGTTCCGGGCCCTAGTGATCACGCACGTTCATCGGTGTTGAGTGAAATACGTATTTTGTTTCAATTTTGTGCGGTTGTCGTTGGACTAGGTACGGGGCACGGGGAGACGAGGTCTATAGTTACCTATAGGTAACTTCATTCGAATGGGGTCACCTATACTTTGACCGCGCAGCACGTGCTCTCCGAAAGTCACATTAGCATCACTTTCGTCGACTACCAGTGCCATAAAAACCGGGTGCGCAAAGGGTGCATTGCACACACTTCCCAGGCCTCGAACCATAAGGCACGTATGGGGCATCTTTACACTTTCAAATTATTTGTCAAATTTTTGTTTGACAAACATGTTAGTCAATTTTTTTGAAAATTGTTTGACGTGTTTGCAATTATAAAATGTATAATAACATGTATGCTTTAGATTGGCCGTCCTTACCTTAGGGCCACGGGCGTTCACAGACTCCGTGATTTCAAAGGCAACAAGAGATTGATCCAGCCCGATTTCCAGATTTTATATCAAATCTGATCCATATATTATCTTAACCTGTGGTGCGCATTGATGCGCACTAACCTCTTAATTAGGTTTGTTTTGAAACTGTATTATGTATACATGGTACAGCGAAGGATGTGGTGCATGCGCCCGTTTACGTTGTCAAGAACCCAATCTATATTCATAATAATATATTATGCTGTTGATGATAATCAAAACTTACAATCAAAAATTACATTTCCTCATAAATTAACAGTATACTCGTGTATACTTCCTATGTAAATGGTACGATTTCAAATTAATATAATAAACTATATTTTTCACCAAGGAAAAAATGTAAGTATTATTATTGCTTAACTGCAATGAATATAATACAAAAATTTTACTTTCATTTAAATAATATACATCTCCGTATGATTTAATAAATGAATAAGCTCATGAATTGCATTTGAATCCGGACTGAGCTTTTCGTATACATATGTGGAGCAGATTTCTACCCGATCTCTTTAACGATTACAGCATTCAATGAAGATTAACAGTCAATTGAACGCCACAGGTGGTACATTTGCTTGGTTCCTCTCTTGGAATTATTTGACAATGGATAATTGAGGTGTGACCTATTCCAAGGTGATTTATAATTGTTTTTCATCTTCTAAAACTATCTGTCATATCAGAACTAAGGGAGTATTGAAATTTTAATTTAATTGAGTTTTGTGGTCTGCAATGATCAATATTGCTACTACAGAATGGCTGTATAATTATTTTGTACATTTCTTTTTTATGTCTGAGTAAGAAAATCTCATTAAAGTTATGGCTAAGGGAGAGCTGTGTGAAAGTTTTAAGTTCTTGTATGTTCTATTTTATTTTTTTATTTTTTGGAGAGATTCTGGGGGGTCCAGTACCCTTGGACTCCCCGTAAATACGCCACTGGTTACATGTTATTAATATATACTACTATAATGATCGTTATGCATTTTAAATCTTTCTTATGAGATAGCAATCGAGTTGTATTTTATAAAACATGATCACTTTATGCCATGAATAATTATTAATAAAATAATAAATTAATTTCATCGTTTACATTCACTAATTTATAATTGTGAAACATACATTTTCAATATTTAATCATGTTAACGAGTTTGCGTTAAGAGTTTAAACTGTATTTAATTATGAAAATTCTTGATAAACATATTATAGACGTATTGGTTATCATAGTATTTTATTTGCAAATTAATTCCTATTATTAAATGGTTGAGAAAAAAAAAATATTTTTATTATATTAAATACATTCTTATTTCATAATCATTATTTAATTCATTTTATTTCAGTTATTAAATTAAAATATGTCAAAGTAAAATGTAATTTAATATTGGATAAATATAAAGGAAGTTGTTTATTGATTTATAATAATGTAATTGGAAAATTTTAACTGGTATAATTTGTCGAATTATTTATTTTCTTATACCTAACATTTTTCTTCTTAAAGTTAAAATATTTTAAAGTTGTATATACTTTGGTGAACATATAAAAAAAAAAAAATGCAAGTATCATTTGATTATCATAATTAAAAATTATGTATATTAATAAAAATATTAAAATATCTATTTTATGTTAATAATGATATTATTTTTTTCAACAAGTTAACTGCATAACATAATGCATCGAATAAATTTAAATACATCTATTTTTATAAATAACAGAATATATAATAAAATATATCAACTAAATTATTATTTTGTATGCCACAGTTATCATTTATCTTTGCTGAACTTGGTATCCATTGATTGTTGATTTCGACGTCGATTAAAATGTTGATACAGTAAAACCTCGGTAAGACGGAAATCCCGGTATTACGGAACATTTTTTTGGTCCCATTTCAAATTACATATAATTAACTAACCCAGTCAAGACGGAAACCCCATTAACACAGAAAAATGTCATGGTCCCAAGCGATTCCGTTTTATCGAGGTTTTACTGTATAATAAACCGATAGCCTAGGTGCCAATAATAAACTATAAATAAAAAATTGGACGAGTTCAACAGATATAACTCAGTTTTTATAATCAATAAATATTTGTTAATTATTAAAAAAAAAAAATTCAGATAAATATTTTTTGGCTTAGATTTCAAAATATATTATAATATTATGGGAGACATTTTTAAAATAATAAATGAATAACTTACCCAATTATATGATATTTTATTTAAGATTGAAGAAAATAACACAGAAGATAGAATTTTAAAACAACTTTTATTTAATATGTACATTTTTCACTGTTACTTATTGTTATAAATAATGTATAAACAGTTACAATGTTGCATTGAGTTAAATTTAAATGTAATCTTAAATGATTCATATTTTTATTATGAAAATTATTTTCATAAAAAACGACTTTTCATTTAAAAACATTAAAAATATATTTAAACTGATTTTGATTCTGACAATTGCATTTTTTCTCCTACTGTTTTCAATTTTTTTTTTTTTTTATTATTTGAAAAAATTAATTTTATAATAACTATTGCTCAAATGTTAATACTACATAAGTCATAACGAGTTCATCGTACAAGTTGAGTATATTTATATTTATATTTAATTTTAGGCAGAAATACATTTTTTTCCTTTAATCAATTATTTGTTATTCATTTTTCAGCGAAATTATGAAATAATTTGATTTTCTTTAACTTCTATTTATATATATATATAAGCAGTGTGATAGTTGGACAACTTATAAGACAATAGTATGCATTTTTGAATTTTTGATGAAACAATAAAAACTTGTAATGCTGTGTTTAGTTTATGAAGATTATTATTAATTAATAAGTTATAATATTAAATTTAAAACCCTATCAATGTCAGTTATAAAATATTTTTAATGTATGTAGATTATAATGATCTATAAGAATATTGTTGAATTATGGATTGTTTTCTTTTTAATTGCTTTACTATAATTTCATTTGAGTTTCATGCGGATTTTTTTTATCCATAAAGCATCACATTTCATGGCTGTAAAACTATTAAACAAATTAATCTAATAATATTATAATAATTGATAACATACCGTGTGATAACTAGTGTTATAAAATTGTAGCTATTCACTTCCGAGAAACTACTTTAGATTATTAAATTATATTTTCTTTAATTTTTTTTTTTTTTTAAAAAACTAATATGTAATAATCATAAAAGTTACCACAGCATATACCGCGAAAACTTCGTGTCATTCAATTTTCTTGTAGCTGTTATTATTATAATAAATATTTGAGGCTTACGAGCTTGAGTGCTTTTTCATAATTTAAAGAGACACTATTGATTAATGAACAACTTGTACGTTGTAAACTAAGGATACCCTATGCATATAACTGGGCTTATTATTACTATTATTATTTCTTTTTATACGAAACATTTTGTATTTCGTTATAGTAGTTCATAAAAACAAGTCTCTTGTAATCTCAAAATCAATGTCCGTTTGGATTTTATCATTTTCTATTTGTAGCGCAGTAAACATTTGATAGTTTTTACTTTTTCGAATGCATTTTATAGATTAAAAACGAGAAGCGATTTATACGTTTTGAAGACAATCGATAAAATTTAATTTTCTATTGAACGTTTTCACTTTATTCATGCACCTAATTAATAGTTAACGATATAAATTCAAACATTTTTTAGTATTAGTTTAATTTTTTTTATTTTTATATTGTATTCCATACTCTTATACTAAAAAATGGTTCTCAAACGATGATAGTTTTGTAATTATTTGTTAAAACATTATGCCATTACAACACACGAATTGTAACGCGACAAAATTTTATACCAATCAAGCACTCATTAAAGTTTCTAATTATACCACACGGGGATGGCCTAATTATTAAATAAATCGGCGATTTATTTGATCGATATATGTATTCCGGCTATGGTTATATATGAGCATGCGAGTCTTCATTTGTGTCGCTACGTCGTGAACTTGGACGTGTATGCACTCACCCCGTCACCCCTTCATTATTGTTATAATGGTTATGTAATGGTAATTGTAACCTTACAGAAAAAATCTGGGACGTATACCCAAAGGCGTTCATCGCATTATTAGAAAAACGTAGGTGTCATTTTTTTTGATTAATATTTTTTTTCTTTTCCTTTTAATTTTAGATGAGGTTTTTTTATCATTCGATTTTTTACCTTATATTAACTTAAAATACTCTTTTAAATAAAATCTCATATATTAAACTTTAACAAATTGTCTTTTTCTTGTGTGCCCCGTCTTCTACGGAATCACGACATTTTTAATTATATTCTATACAAAAATCTTTAGTTTAATAAGGTACAGGCAACGGTTTCCTCAACGACCTATCCCACGTGATATGTGATTAAATGTCACGAGGTATTGAAGCAACACAACGACTCTACAATTATTTACGTATACTTAATTTTAATTATTTCAAAAAATACCAAGTTGACTTCATTGATTAACGCGGTATTTTTCTAAAAAAATCTTATTGTTGTCCGACCTCATGGTCTCGCCCAATAGGTTGGCGACCCTATTTTTTTATATATCCTTATGAAACGCCATGTAAGTTACAACCAGTTCCATTGCGTCTGGTCATATTTATATTTAGTATTCTGTTAGTTATAACCTTACAAAGTCAAATAAATTGTTATTTGGAACGTATACATAAATATGAAGGTTTTGTAGTTTTCAACTAAATCAAATATTACATAATGTGAGACGTTATTAAAATATATATAAATTGTATAACAAATTAATATAATTTGGTTGAGATTATAATGGTTAAAGTTCATACATTTTTTCATGCATTCTAAAACGTTTAAATGTATAATAATAGTAAATAAACTAGTCAAAATAAAATCGGATTCAAAAGTATTTTGAGCAAGTAGATGAGTGACCGAAAAAAAAAAGTAGAACATAAAGTTATGATAAACTGGATGCACATCAATCTTCAGTATAAAAAATTGAGTAATCCAAAAATACTTGTAAGGTTAGGTAGGTTAAAAATCATTTATCTGAAATATTTTGATACTCTGGATTGTAACCGAATCTTATTCAACCATTATTATTTACCATTTTTAATGTAGTATAGGTCCAAGCGAATTAAGTGTAACACCGTAAGGATGATTTTGACAAATTTTTGAACATTGCTTGAAGTGTTGATGCCATCAATCACGATTGTTATCTTAAAAAGTTGACATGGCTATAGTACGTGCCCGTAAAAGTTTTATTTCGGGTGCGATGTAGCAGCTCACCAGTCATGGGAGTACGCAAGCGCATTGTAAAAATGATATGAAATAAAATACTATATACATATGTACATCAAAATATTATCTTACGACCAATAAATTAAACATTATGTAGCGTTTCAAAATTTTATTGACGTCAACACAGTCACATACCTATACAATTTTACCCCTCTGGAAGTGTTATTGTTCCTTAACTTAATCATTAAAAATCTGCAATTTTGGTAATCACAACTTTTTACCGTTCCTAAGAGAAATCATGTATGGCTACGCTGTGTTGGGTTAGTATTAAATATAATAAGTATACACCTACCTCGGTGTTATAACGTTACAACGATGATAAGTCGACTGCGAAGCAGACGCTCTACGGAGTGACGTGTTTTAAATTCTATTCAGTTAGTCCGTTGCAAACGTGGAGTGATTGAAGAGTAGTGAGTTTCAAAACTAAATATTTTCATTTATCTATCAACACCAGTATAAAAAAAAAAAATACCGGTATTTCGATGTACCCTGGGGCCACAAGCAAGCCGGTCAGTGTTGCTTTTCAATGCCGTTAGTGATCATTATTATTAATATTATTAAAGGCCGAAAAGTCGTGGATACCGTGCGTTTTGATTGATTACGGCATTGACCGTTTTTATATTAAAATATACATTTACGTTAAATTGTTTTGCTTTTGAGATATTTCATATTTCACACTACGTACGCAACAAGCAATATTATAAAATACGCGTTTCGCGCGTACGTCAAACGCAGTTATTTGACAATTTACAGTCTGTAAAATACAATAATTGGACGTATACATACGATAACATTTCATTCGGAGTCTATACGTAGACGCTTGTTCGTGTACGTATGCAATAATTATTATTGTAATATGATTGTGTAAGGAAAAGAACCTTTTCGAGACGCACACACAGCTCGAATTTGGTCCGTGCGCACGTGCAGCTGCCGACAAATAATCATTCAACAAAATGAACACGTTAAATAGGACATTTTCAATATTGCATAACAACCAAAGATATGCATATAATTTTATATTTTGCTCGATAATACGCGCACACACACTTCCGAAAATTCTTAAACGCTATAGTATATATTATATTTACATATTACATTACACTTAATGGTTTTAATTTACTATTTTCTAGGGAAAAAAAGTTAAAACTTAGCGCCAATCAAACAAGTATATAATGTGAATATATATTCTAAAATATCAAATTATCTAAATTCTAAATTTTATTAATTAACTTTTTGGTAAAAAATGTAAAAAATGTAAAAATGGTAAAAAAATAATAGCAGATATTCGTTTTGTATATGTACAATATTTTTTTTAAAAAAAAAAACCTCTGGACGTGGTGTATAAAAATCATGATGGTTACGAATAAGTTTCAGATGTCAGACCGTGCCACTGTTTATTGACGATCTCGTTCTTGTACCATTTATACTTTGTAGCTCTTTCGTTGCAGTCTGATCCACAAGATCATACTCATTGCACTCGATATTAGAGTCACCGCGACCATGAATGAGTACGTCATGTAAAACTTTTTAGATGAGATGCACAACATTCTATCGCCTGCAAACAGATATACATTGAATTTATTATTCGAGTATACATTAGTGTTTCTACATGTATCGCGAATAACTTTTAATAAATATATATATATATAGTAGTCCATACTTACATTTCGGACTACCTTTGTAATAGTAAAAACAAAAAAAAATTAAAAAAAAAATAATAATTCTCTAATGAAGCAAAACTAAGAGAATCGTTTTAATTTTCATTTTTATTCCATTTAGAAATCATATTATTAATAAAAATCCGAACCGCGTCCACTTCACCGTACGTTAAACATTTTTATTTGAGATAAAAATATCTAGTGTGGTTCTTAGTAGGTACTGAGTGTTTAGGATTTATTTTATGTTTACTTTATCCCTGTTTTCAGCTAGTATATTACTGAGTGAGTATGTTAATTGTTTAAGACTTCTCGGTGTATTATGTTTGATGCTGTTCCATTGTCAGATAGCAAAATGTATTGGTTTCCTCGAATTCCAACTTGAGATAAACTAACGTACAGCTGCCCAAGGGAAAAATATTCCTTTCTCAAGTTCATGTCCTCCAGAGAGAATGTTTGACACTGAGACTTATTTATCGTGAGGGCAAATGAAACTTTATCTGGAAACTGCAGCCTTTTGAACGATATTGAAAAGTCTATTGAAACCACAGTTATCCGCGGAATATAAGCAAGTTGTTCCTATGTTGGCCTCGGGAGAATGATCGCCACGATTATATTGTCCCGTAACTCAGTAGCCTTGTGGCATTACACATGTTGGAAGGACTCTTGTTTTTTAATAGCACGATAGGAATGCCGATTTTTAACATAAAGTCATACCAAGAGATAGGTCAGAAGGGCTAATAGAATTTAAAAATTCTTGAGGTTAGTGCACTGTATCCTGAATATTACACACAATGTTAACTGATCTGTAGTGTTTTATGAAAGTGCAAATTGGCCCACCAACTACAAATGGTTGGACCAAACTGTTCTAATCTATAGATTATTGTCAATTTCAATTTCAGCGACACTACTGTTAGTGCTACTGTTAGAAAAGGTAATTTTTCCTTCTTCAAGTTAAAAAATATAAAATACGTGTATCACTGCAAGCTTACACTGTCTATATTTTATAATTAATATACATTGGAGGTTTTTCTTTTTCTTGAAATAAATATTTAGTGCCACGGACATTTGCATAAAACGGATAAAGAAAAATATTTTTTAATGTGCACCTATAGTCCGTTCACGCTGATAAATCAACGTATAAGCTTAATACTATGTTATAACGTTTTTCTCGGTATTTATTGACAAACGTTGTTATTTCACATTAAAAAATATTATTAATTACAATAAAACATAGACTATGTTACTCAGGAATAATATAGTTTTTAACCGGTTAAAGAATTTTCAATTAGAGTCTGTAGTTCCAGAGATCACTTCCTACAAAAAAAAAACTTACAAACTTGCAAATTTTATTGCTTTATCATATCATATTGATTGGAAAAAAATTATTTCTCATATTATTAATAACGGTAAAAATAAATAGCTTATTAATGAATAAAATATATGTAATATCATGAATTCTCATTAATATCATTACTAATAATTTATTAGTAATAGGAACATATCACTTACGAAATAAACGAAGAGTGATAGTTTCTTTTAGCCGAGGTAATTGAAAGAAATCAAGTGAGCACCGGAGGCTTTGAGTTAGTATAACCTCACGTTGTGTACATTGAACATTATTTTCAAAAAGGTCATTCGCAGAATCGGGTAAATATCTCGGGGGTAACCGTCGTACAAGGGTTGAGAACCGTTGTTTTACACGATATTCACGTATATGCATATTAGGTACCTGAATAGTACAGTGAATACGTGTCTCGCGCTTCTTGTCGAAAACTGTATACGACAAGCGTACAACATTTTAAGTTATGCACATTATTGTATTTATAATTATCCATGTGATATAATTCACAGCGGACTTATCTCAAAGGGTTCTCCAGATAAAACTGTTAAAACATCAAGTTTGATAGTGCACCGAATAATAAAAACGGCTGTACACCGTCGTAACATTTTTATACCCTGTACAATTGCCATAACGTTAAAGCGTGTAAAAGGATGGACGTGTTTTTATTGCTATAACGTGTTACTGTTTATCCGAAGAATTTACATTGATTATTATTGCGTTACTAACAACGGTAATTAAATCCACACGACAGTATTACAGCACGGTGTACGAGTTCACGCGTGACACCGCATATCCTCCCGCCGTATCACCGCGACATTCTGTCAAAGTTAATAAATATACTTTTTGTTTTATTTTCATTTTTCTTCGACTACGATACGTCGGAGCAATTTGTCGCTATTAAAATTGACAGTTGTTCATTCGGATTCCGAAAATGTTTTCCTTTACAAAAACACCTCGACGTGTGCAAAAGTCATATTCTTTTCTGGCGCATGCACGAACGTATCAATATATATTTTTGATTTCCATCAGGTGCGACACATCTTGTTATAAAAATATGAACTCGCCGTAGTGCACTCGCGTTTTTACGTCTTATCCGGAGCCTGTACGAAACGTCGCGTGAATCATTGATTTGTTTTAACGAGAATAAATATCGGACGATTGTTTATTTTTCACGAATTATGTTCCTTACAAGTCGTAAACGATAATGTACTACACGTACTATAACCGCGTGCTATCTGCTTCACAGATTCGCGCAGTGCATATTTTGTGTTCCGACAGTATTTCCAGTGAAAGTAAATATCGTTGTCCATAAACAGAATATGGATATTGTGTATTTTATACGCCCACGTTACGGTACGACGAGCAGCGTACGTGCGGTACTACTATTACGCGCGTTTCCGGATATTATAATATTATTATGATCGGTTGAACAATTGTTACTTGTTTAGGTCTTATTTTTAACGCGTTTCAATTAGGCAGTCAGGAGGCGGCCGACGTAAGTGATGTACAATGTCTTGTGCACGCAATACGTTGAAAGTTTAACAAGCATAGACCTTTCGAGCGTAGGTACATTCGACGCTTTGGGTACAGACATTTATACATCTGTAACAACTGTACACGCCTTTGACGTAAATTTTCACGTCAGTTGCACCCATTAAAGTCGTGTCCAAATTGTATATGTCTTCAGTAACAGAACTGTTGAATGTTTATACGTGTTTCGCTATCAATGCGGGGTCAGTATTTTCGGACGATGAGTAAAATGTTAAGCAGAATATTCTGGACTGTAACCATATAGACGATGGAATTAAAATTATAGTTTTATTTTGATTTTGTATTCATTTTAAACTGTATAACGTATTAAAAAATACTCGTGTGTAACATTGTTTTCTACGAAAAAAACAACCATACGTCGATGTTCTGACGTAAATTTTTTTTCCGGATCCCCGGGGATCAGTGTACTGTATTTCAAGTCGTATGGTAATTACATAGGAAATATTCACTTACTATGCATCATATGTCTGACGTCTTTATAGTTATTATTCTCTAATACCGTTATATATGCATTATTATTATATTTACCTGCGGCGAACGCTTGCAGCGGATCCAATACGTCGTTGGTGGCGCCGTAGGATAGGGTCCGATTGAAATTGTCGGCCATCAAGTCGTCGGGCGAATAAACGTGAACGCGACCGACTAACATCATGGAATCCGCACTGTCGTCGAACGCATTAATCGTATTGTTGCCGGTGGTCGGTGGCACGTCTCGCCTTCTACGGCCAGGATCGATTTTCTGTGAACAATTACACACACTCGTGATCGTGACCTGTGACATTCGAGAGAAAGCCAGTCGTGCGTCTGCTGCAGTCGGCGGTAGATGTTTTTATTTTAAACTTTTTTTTTTTTTTACTTATTTATTTATTCTTACATTATTTGTTTCGACGGGAAAATGTTATTGTTTAACCGATATCACGTCGAACAACGAACGGTCCCGGATCAGGTGCGAAATGTGTGTGTGTGTGTGTGTGTGTGTGTGTGTGTGTGTGTGTGTGTGTATGAGAAAGAGAAAGAGAGAAAATAGAAATAAAATAATCAACATTTAATTTAACGTGCGCCAGCTCCTCGACCCGGAATATGAAATACGGATTCGCCATATCCGCGGGCAAAAATGAAGCGAAACTTCCGTCGACTGCGCGTAGCTCCATCGAGATGTTACGATGCATTTGTTATTATTATAATAGAGCGCAGGTGCACGCAATAATACATTACTATTGCGATTGATTTAATTTCCGTGGTTGGAGTTCGTAGTAAGTAAATTTATTGAGACATTTCCGATACCAATGATTATTGTTTAGATATGAATCTTAATTTAATATTATGATACAAGTCCATTCTCAAAAATCTTCAAAGGGAGGCGGGGAGTTTAAAATTATACATGTTATGTTAGATTATGATGTCAATAAAAAAAAAAATATTAGGATCGAAAAATCGATAAATGTCGACTAATATCTGAACAGTTTTGATAGCTGACTAGTCAGTGAAAATTTGTTGTATCAATAACTGCATTTACAACGATAATCAACAGTAAGTGGAAAAGGCGAGAAAATTAAAAAGAAAAAAATGCATCACATCAAGAAAATCGGCACTGTTGAAATAAAAACAAATAACTACATATGCATTTTCAAGTCAGTTTAAATTTATTGAATGAAAGACTAGGTATATTCTTAGTAAAAATGTATATAAAAAGATCCTTAATGAGGGGGGGGTCTATTGTGATACATTTAGTACACAAATTTGGTAATTATTATAGCCATCGGTTTACAAAAAGTACATTTCCAAGGCTGGTTAATTCTGTTAATTTAAATAAATGTAAGTCAATATTAAGTTAAAAGTTCTTACTAACGTATAGGAGTTATAAGTTGAATATGAATACAATTAACTTCAATTGGGTAAACATTTGTTATTTTCTTTTTATTGAACAATACGATTTCTATTAAAATCCAGCAATTGTGCATTAGACATATATACGATTATAATTACTATGACTGTTTAAGAAATTTAGTCATAATTTACTTAACATTTTACCACAACCTTAACATTTTTAACAACCTGTAAAACAGCCTTTTTAACATTTCTTTAAGTTCTTAAAGCGGTGTAAGGGTTACTATAAACGTTCTTGTAATCCAGAAAAAGTCCTCGTACAATAAGTATGCCGCACACGGATCGCCATTACTAGCGCGTCAATAAACTGGCCGGTGCATATTTTTATTTTTTCTTTAAGTTAAACTCACGTAGGTTCAAATCATCCGGGTCCGCGCGCACGCCTACGACTAACTTTTCGCCCCGAAACGAGACGCTCGTTAGCATGACGTTTACGGTTCAGAGACACTTGGCCGTACGTCACACATCGCGCGCAGGAACGAACGTCTGAAACGCCAATCATTACTGCGCCGAGCACAAACAATAACGTAACATTACAATATCTGCTCGGCTGTCTGACGATTCTTGGTCCTCGGAGATATAACAAAGCGCACGCGAACGGTGCGGCAAACAGCGATGTTTTCATCGTCGAACAAAGCCGTAACGCGATCTCGTACGCGCATTCATTCTCGGCTATTTTTTCCGCACCTTGACGGACGTCGACGCAAGACCACGTCAGTGCGGCTTAACGGTTCGTCGCGCGGTCGTGTGCGCGTGCGTCTAGTGCCTACACTTAGCGGGGGATGCACCGGGGCTTCAAGCTCTGAGGGGTCGCTAAAATCAAAGTTGAAACCGTGTGTTTCGTTATAATTTTTGTCGCGCTTTCGTGCTCCTTTTTTTCTCTTCTTTTGTTTATATCTATCCGTTGCGTTTCGTTCAACAACAGTCGGTTCATATATCGAAATTCCCAAACGTAAACTCGAAAGCGGTGCAAGAAAAAATAAGTTACTTTTACGAAAAAATAACTATTTTTTTCCTCAAGGGTCCACCGATTGGTAATTGGACAAACTCACCTGATTCGGTTCCGCGCACGGCTGACAGTTGGCTTTGCACAGTTCGACGTTGCACTCGATCAACAGGTCCATGACGTCCGGGAACTTGAAAGCCTACGGGGACACAAAATGAACGACGCGATAAAAAAACCGACGTCGAAACGGTAAATGTTACGCACCTGGAAGTACGCGTAGGCTATCAGTGATCCGGTTGCCGGGTTCGTCGTGGTCTGGAAACTACCGAACAGCTTCGGTTTCGCCACGCAGCCCTGGCTGTCGGTCAGTTGCAGCTGGTTGCCCGACTCGGGGTTGCTGTCGCGGGCCACACACTCCCTGACCAGCACGTTGAAACCCGGGTCGCCGTCCACCGTCACCACCAGGGTCATGGTCTCTCCGATCTTCACCAGACCGTTGGCGGGCGGAGCAAACGGTCCTTTGCCGCTCTGAAACGCCACGCAACGTTGTCGTCGACAATATTATAACAACGAATAACAACAATGATAATAATAATAATAATAATAATAATAATAATAATTATGTTAGTGTTAATTATGTAGTTCAGACGGTACGGTAATTTAACCGTACACCGTACTCAACCCTACACCGTACTCGAGTTTCAGTTGCATTTATATCGTATTCGCATTAAGACGCGTGAAGATGAACTTGAATACATTTATATTAATATACTGGTATCGTAAATATCGTCAACCGCAACGGATTTTAAATCGAAGATTCTGGGTACATCCTATTGTGAGACAAAGAAATATTTTGGACTCTTTTAATACGCTAATGTGTTAATTACGACAGGATGAAACAACATTTTTTAATTATTTTCGAATGTCGATAATTAATTATTCGACAGTAGCACAGATAAAAAAATGGCGCACTATCGGTCAAAATATCGAATCGTCTGAACGCAATGTCTATAAATACATTGCCACGATAAGCCGAATCGGTTTTTTTACCGTACGACCGAAAACGATTTGCAGAGACAATACCGAATGGCAAAATCGACCTAAACGGCAATTTTACCGAATACAGTATAATGCCATATCGTCTGAATATATGCTTTTAAATTACATTGACATTGACTTGTACGGTAAAATTAACGATACGGCAAAACCGCCGATTCGGAATCGTGTGAACAAGCTCTAAGATATCGCTTGTAGAGCGGTGAAACGGGTAAGACACAAGTGTGGTTCATAAATATTTTTGGAATACGTGTTCGGCAGTTGTTTTCGCTGTTCGGAAATATCACTGTCGTCGGGGCGGATCAATGCACGATTTTTAATTAACTAATATGGACTTTTGTGCCCATCGCATAGTTTCATAACTCAATACAAATATCATTAATTACCATTGAATGGAAAAAATAAAAATCTGTTAGAAGTTTGCGTTCTGTCGAGAGAGAAAAAAAATTATTTATTACTTTGAAATAATAAAACAATGTGATAAAATAAAGTCGAAATTAATTATTATTAAAAAATAAAATTAAAAATTTTTTTCTATACAAACGAAGAATTGACATATGCGTAGATCGATACTCTATTATTTTGACTAGAAAATTAATTTTGCGCTCTAACGTTTTTGATCGCAATAATTAATTATAATATATTACCGATTTACCGAATTAAATTTAATTAGAACAAACCAAAAGTTTTCAAGTAGGAAGTAATTACCTATATTTTATTATCTTTTGACTTCTACCAGGAAATTGAATATTCATCCAAGTATGTAAACACATTTTTTATCGACTCAAGTCATATGATAATTTAAAGTGCATCTTATAAAATTGTTCCAATTCGTTTTTTATGATTTTCGTATAATACTTTTAAAGCTTAATGATGAATACTTTTTTATACATAGGATTGGACTTGGATTTGAATTAGATAAAAAAAAAATAAGTAGTGCATAAAGTATAACTAAAATAATGATTATTTCCCAATATGGATAGGTTATATTTACATTCTAAATTATTAATATTCCGTATATTTTATCCCTTATGTAATATGTTTATTTCATTTTACAATTCCTTTTAATTTGGAATACGTTTTGTTTATTTCATGATATAATATAATAAGCCATTTGTAATTATAGAGTTGTTTATATTGGATGATTTTATACTGCACTAAAGATTTAATGAAAATAATTATTTATTCGAGATAAATAAAAATAAAATTCGTTTTCATATTTAAAAAAAAAATTACTAATAATTTTTATTTACCAGGAACATTTTATATCCCATCTTTACAGGAGATTAGTTTTTCACTATTATATACTAAAAATATTAAAACAATTTGATATTAATTTTGTAGTGTATGAAAAACAAATGTATCTGCGTATGCAATTACAAAAATATAGCTGTCTCACTATTTTATTTAAATATGTATTTTACACTGTAGCAAAGCGAAACGAAATATTCGAATCGTGGCTGAGGAATAACGGGAAAGCGTATTTTACGTCAAAACTTTTACCGCAAATTGAATTATAAAAAACTAGTACTACTATATATTTTAATCATACGAACAATCATTGAAATACTATATTACTTGAATATCGAGTCTGGCAGTTGCCGTATCGCCACTGAACGTCACCACTTCCTGATTCAACATGCCGATGTTCAGCGCAATGGACAGAGCTTTGTTCAAATTTCCTTCCCACAGACATCTGACGGTACGAATAACATCCCAAGCCTATATCATAATTCGCATAAACGTTTGAACACAGTGATAATAATAATTTTTGTCGGCAATATGTGTGTGTGTGTGCGTTTGTGAAAAGAGGGAGGGAGAAGACATTATTGTTTACGTAAAAATATCACGGGTTGTCGCTCACATCGCACTACACGGGATACGTTCGTTACCAGGTAAACTATACAGACTTACCTCTTGTATTCCTGGTTCATTTTGCACAACCAACACGTTCTCCAAGTAAGCCTGTTTGCCTGTGGAAAACTCATCGACAAAATGTGTCCCGCAAGAGTTCAACATCACTTTGAACGAATACTTGGTCTGGCCGGAATTCGGGTTCACGTATCTGCACTCCTGGCTGTTGTAGAATCCCTGTGAACCACGGAAAACACGAGGAGAGATAAAAACCTTTTTGATTACCACGGAAACATTAAGGTTATCCGTTCACCCGTGTTGTTTCGGTTTTCGAGAGGCAACCAGGATATTCTATGCGAGTTGAAATTTTTTCCACCCCCATTTTAGCGTATCGTGACTGAAAGTATAATAATTAACCTGCAATCACTAGCTGTGGATTGATCATGTAAGGCATTTGCTGATCGAATTATTAATAGCTCACTAACTAGATATTATACCGAGATACTTTTGGGTACTACGGAATACGGAGATACCAGAAGAACCAACAATTGTATATTATTCGATGAAGTACATTAAAATCATTAAAAGTTTATAAGCAAACTGTACAGTTTGAATCATTTGAATAAAATGTCAGCAGAACCTTAAATGATGGAGGGTTTGGCAGGGTGGGTTAGGGGGGCAATAGTAAAATATTGATCCGATCAATAGATTATTTTTTATATTTTAACTTTATTTTTATCTTTGTTATCGTTTTGTCTCCGTGATGATAAATGCCTGGAATGTGTTCTGTTTACGAACCTTTGAGTATATCACGCCATCATACGGTTTGTTGAACTCTACGTTTATGGTCATCATTTCCTTCGAGCACTGCACATTGATGTTATGTATGTGTGGTGGATGGGAAACGGTGTCCAGGTTGGATTGCAAGTTTTCTGAGTTGGGTTCGAACGGCGGGTTCGTAACCAAGAAACCAGTCGACTCGTCCGTGAAGCCAACTGTTGTCTGCAGCATCTGGGACGAGAAATCGGTCGGTTGGTTTTCCGAACCCGTTACTGAAGCCTGAAAGTTTTCCGGAGCTATTGTGGGTGATAACGACGGTTGTTGTGGCTGTTGCGGTTGTTGCGAGGGTAGTTGAGACTGTTGCAAGGGCTGTTGCGGTTGTTGAGAGAGCTGTTGTGACTGTTGCAAGGGTTGTTGCGACTGTTGCGGAGGCTGTTGCGACTGCGGAGTTTGGTCCGACGTGGTGGTCTGAAAGATATTGTCGACTGCTGGAGGAGCTGCTTCGGGGGCCTGAGGGAACTGAGAACTGGTCGGTACAGAGAACTCCGGCTGTGGAGGTGGTTGAGGAGGAAGATAGCCCCGGAATTCTTGAGGTTGTGTGGCCTCAAAAGGACGGGGACGCTGCTGTGCGTTGTCTTGGCGAGCTGAAAATCAGACGATCGCGAGTCAATCGTGAACCGGAAATAATCACTTAATTGTATGTTACGTGTTTTATGCTTTCATTACAAAAGAAAACGAATTTTTAAGTCTCTCGATTAACTTTATTTTCCTTCGTTCAATCGAAATAGATTTATTCGACGTTCGAGTTTTTCCGATTATTTGAATGCAGTATCGAACACCGCGAAAACGTGGACACATCGCTTTAATACTTGAAACTATTGAACACTCACCTAAACGTTGATTTTGTGTGTTCTGGTATCTCGATTGTAACCACGTGAGTATGTGGTCGACTGTCTGGTCCATGGAATTGGGAGCTATTTGTGATACTTTCGTGTGTATCTCTGAAATATGCACAAGTAAATCAAATGATTTTTAAACAATAGAGTCCAGTCACCTCCAGAGGCTGTCTTTTATAATAATAAATACTTTCCATTTCGCTTACCTCTTGCTTTTCGTATGTCATCGGATTTGACGAATAGCGCTCGATCGTACAAATCCACACCCAATACCTGTAAGACAATTGTTACGTTACGGTTAATATTCATTTTTTTTAATATATTTAAGTGTTGTCATTCGGTTACTCTTACTGCATTGTATATTTGTGCGATGATTAATAAGCTCGTCATCCAATGACGGGTCATTGTGAGAGATCGATCTACAAGGAAACATAATATAAATTAATGAAACTTGCAGTGCAGATCAAAATATTAGACGGAGGGAGTAGGAATTCATATTACTATCAACGTTTTTATTTGAATTTGATGGATTATGTATTACTCTCTTCAAATGTTTTTATTTTTTAAGTAATTCGTTTTTCTACATTCGCAAAGATTAATAGCCCAATAAAATGACGTAGTGGTTTTATACTTTTTTTTTTTATAACAAGACCAACGCCAAAAGTATCATTTTGTAATAGATTACCATTAGGTAGTAACTAGACTATTATTAGAAAACAAATTGGAATTCGGAGGAAAGAGAATGGGATAACGATTCGTGGGAGATATATTTATTGTAGACACCTGAGGAATAATAATTTCGTGAGTATTTACCATAAATACCACGATGCGAGATCTTATAGGTATTATTCTTAATTATACGGAAATTTCTAAATTAGGTTTTTGATTTTTCTCACATTGAATAAAGAAAGTATTATAATAATGTTTTAACACAAAAAACATACACACACATATATACTATTTATATCGACAGTTTATATATATAAGGCAATCAAAAATAATAATATTACATAAAACTTATTTTGTTCTATGTAAAATATTTTATTTTCTGTATAACTTTTTTCTATAAAAATGATTCTCAGATTTCGGATAGGTAGTTATTTTTTTATTGGGTATTATGCAACTACTGTATTTAAGTTGGTAATTTACGAGTTATATTCAAGCCTAATATGATACATTTATACGTGTGTTAAATATTTATTACGTTTTTAGAACAGTTAATTCTAGTTACGGTTTTTTATTTGCTCAAATGTTTAAAAAAAAGTTTACAATTAATAAACAAATCTTCTTTTTATCTTCTTATTAAAGTTCATTTTTATACAAGTATTAAACATTTTCGAATAAAAAGCAATTTAATTAATTAATATTAAGGTGTTTTCGAATCTCTAAATTTTGCTAATTAATTAATAGAATATTGATTTCTATTTTTCTATTAATTTAGTAGTTCACAATAATGTATTATCGTTATTAAATCCAAACCTAAAACTCAAATAATTTTAATTGTATTATTATGTAAATCAAAATCAATTAAATATATTTAAACATCAGATTTTAAATGTTGAAAATAAAAACATTATTATTTTGTTTGTATTTCAGATATTTAGTAATTGAAAGGATGAAAAAAGGAATTTTGGTAAATAAATTGATGTAATTTGTTTATGCCAATTAAATACATATTTAATTCTACCACGAAGACCTTCGAGTTTAGAAATTTAACATCAGGAAACGATAATTATCATTATTTTTATTGTTTTTTTTTTTTTTTTTTTTTTTTTTTGAGATATACTTCCCCTTGCGTGTGTAATGGTATCTGTTCAAAAATTAAATGGTGTAGAAGGGAAAGTAAAAAAGAAAAAAATCAGTCCTGAGCGTGATTGTGGATCATTACCAGAAGGAGTCGCATTAAGTACATTGTTTTTATCTTTTTTATTAAAAGATGAGGAGTATAATATTCTATTCTGTGGTATTGAGAAAATCTCTGTGATACGGACAACGTGATAACGGCCGTCATTATAGAGTTGTTCTTTCTCCATCGTGTGGTCATTCATTAGCATTTCAACTTGGTTTTATTACACTACTTAGCTTATATTACATATTGTATACCTTAGTATTTCCCCTGGGGAAGACCCATACAAATTATACCACAGCGGTTATGTCGATAAAACTTGTTTTTGACCTCTGGCCTCTAGTCCCGGAACACAATAAAAGCTTACTCTTCTCACGGTTTTTATTAATTTGATTAACGTGAGTGATTCTCATTTTTGAAGACGTACTCCGTTTCACATATTTTAAATACATTTCGAAGCATAGATTTTAAAACAATTTTATAATATTCCACTTTGTAATAATTTTATGTTGTTTACATTTCATTCGTAACAATTCGCTACTAAATATGTTTATTCAACATCAAGCCGATGTGCGCATGGTTCTTGAAAACTTATGTACATTACATTATGCACAATAAAATAATATTTATTTTTTCATCAATTCATTATATTCATTTTCGAATTTTTCTTGCTATTTCAACAATTCCATTATTAAACTGTTAAGTAAATTTAATTTTTCTTTGATCATTGTGTACATCGAAATGTATTCTTACACGAATGATCATGCGATAAACAACCCACATACGAAAATAAATATACTTTTAGTGAACATAACTTCTTAAATTTTATTTATTCAACATCATACAACATTTATCGATCAAAGAATCAAATATATTTTATTCGTAATCGTTTTTTAAATGTCATTATGTTATTATTTCATTCGGTTTCGAAATAATTATATCCCAAAAGTGTAATATCTGATACTATAAATTTTCTTTTCTACATACTATTGAAATTTAAACGATATGATATAAAAGCTACCGTATCAGTCTTAATTTTTTTTTCGAGTAATGAACACTTCATTGTAAACATTGGTAATAGTTTTTTAAAATCTATATCAACATTTAATAGTTTATTTTATTCTTTTTTTAAATTCTAATTGCAAATGTAAAATCTACCACGGCAGTGGCGTACCTATGAAACATTTTTTTTTTTTTTTTTTTGGGGGGGGCATAAATTAATTGCACAATTGTTTATAATTATAATATAATCTGAAACTTTATTATAAATTATTACTAAATCATTAAAAAATAAATCATATAACAAAATCTAAATTTATTTTTTACTGCCAGCAAATAAATCAAACTTCGTCAACTTCAACTGTTCTATGTCTATGAATATTAAGTAAAGCTAACCCAACCAAGCGTTCTTCGCTCATATTTGACCTTAACCAAGTTTTTAATTTAAGTTTAAAAATACAAAGCAGTACAAATTAAAATAAAATATAAACATGCATGATGCTAAAGCATATAACCACATTATAAAATAGTGATTTTATGTGACCATCACTCCCAATCCCAATTTGGTCGAATACTGATATTTTATATTACATTGATAAGTGATATCAAACACGATTATAATCAGTGAAAATTAAAAATATTTATAATTTACATTATTTAAGCTGAACAATTAATTTGCATTATGACATCAAAAAACTTCTCGGGGAGGGAGGAATTCCCCTGTTACCCCCCCACAGGTACGCCACTTTACCACGATAGGTGTGTCTACTCGCATTTTATCTGTTATAATAAATACAATGTTTAATACAAGTTAGGTTAGTTAGGAATGTTATTTTTGCTTATACATTTGAAATTATAGTTAACAGTATTAAATATAATATTAATTATTTAATATAGGTATACCAAAAGACTTTTTTTCTATACAAGATACGATCTACAAAAATCTTTTTATTTTTGCAATTAATAAAAAATATTAGACATAACGTGATATATTTAAATTAAGTTACATTCAAAGAAGTTAACTTTTTTGGTAAAATAAGTCAACAATATTATTATCATACGAATAAGTACTTCATTGTTTACTTAAACATAGTATTATATCATATATCTCATCTATTTTATATATATTTTAATTTATTATTCACAAACGATAATTTTTAAAATTATAAATCTAAAGTAGTACGACAAAAAATTAAATTAAATTGTTTTAACGAAATGTATTATTCATCTAATTCATTGTTATTGAAATAATTTGTTTATTTCCACGCTTGTTCTAGTATGATGCAATAGCTATTCAATCAAATACTAACGGCGTGAAAAAAAAAACAAAAAAATTCCATTGGAATAAAATAAAACGTTAAATTTAAATCGGCAAATGTCACAGAGTCTTAGTCTTGTGGAATCTATCTCAAAGGCATACCCAAGGGGTGGGGAGGGGTTATCGAGTCCAGACCCCCCATTGAAATTTCTACATACTCAACGGTTTAATAGTAGATAGTATAATAATAATATATAGTGTATTTTAATTTCCCATTATCAGATAAAATAAAAATTTTGGACCCCCTCCCATAAAAAATTCCTGAGTACGCTCCTGATCTATCTAGTACATGTCGATGATGGCATCTAACCATTTATAAAAAAATAATATAAAGTGTCGTAAATATAATACATAATTATGGTAAAAAGTTTTCATATTTATAATTTTCAGCGCTACCCGCGAATACGTGCCCCTTGATTATTATTTAAATCGCGTCTCACGTCGTAGAAACGTAACACATTCGTCTGCATTTATACATAAAAGTTCTTTGCAGGTGTGACGTCACGTCAGACGTGCAAGTGTAACGTCAACCATTTGACGTCGTGCATGTATTATTATCATTAATATTGTTGTTTTTATACCGTTCACACGTGTATATTTATATTGTTACAGAGCAGTTAGTAGCGGTATAATACGCGTATTACAATACGGATAATTTATGTACGCGTAGGAACAATAATATATAATTTCCTTGTTATATCACTTGAATTTTCATCGGATAACTATATAATAATTAACAAGACACCGATGTTGGGCTAATTCGACCACGTAACCGTGAGCGCCTAACGTACGAATACTATATTGGGAAAGAGAAGGGTGAAAAACCGTGGGACGTATTTTGAATACAAGGCAAAGCCGTTTAATTACATGATACTTGGGTTAATTGTTGTTTCAAATTTTTTTCGTATTTTTTTTTTCTACTCGTATTTTCGTCTTACATTTTTCATCTTGAGTGATGTATTTTTATAGAACAATAGTAATCAGACGTGTAACGCGTTATTTAACTGCTTATCCTATTGTTTTACTCAATGCAAATACACACACATGCACCACAACGATTTCTGTTGCACAGTGGCCACAGATATATATGAATACGATGTGACGAAATGCAAACGACCGTTAACAAGTCCAGACGTTGTATTTGTAGACCAAATAGATTGGGGCTAATCCGACCAAATAAATTAGCATTCATAGGTGTAGGTGATCGACGAATTTTTCCCGTACGACAATATACAAAAAATCAAAATTTATTGCCG